TGCCGCCTGCTCTCATCGCCGCATGATGGATGTCATCATCACGCTGGGCCTGACACCGATTGTCGATGACACTGCGAGCGTCTTGGTTTGGCCCAAGGCGTTCATGCACAGGTGGTCGGTGTGGAGCGAGCGCCGGGTCAGGCCATGGTGCAGCTACGTCCTCCTGTTCCGTGCGCTGGCAACTGTAGTGGTGAGCGGATGGAGAGATTCATTTGGTGCGTCCCTATTCCCCTAGTGGGGAGAAAGGCCGTGGGTCAGTGTCGCGATGCGGAGCTCTCCGCCCGTTGAACGGCGGCGGTTTCCACCAGCGTCCGGAGGTTCCGGTGGACCGACTGCTCCTGGGGTCGACGGGCTCTGGCAGGCCATGCAGAAGCATCGCCGCAGCGGCGATGTTCTGGCCAACCCGAGCGAACTGTGGGGGATTGTTCCCCCGTCCATGATGTTGCGTTGGACCTGACGGCCATGACCCCAGGCACCGCTCGCCGGGTTACGCACGCATGGCGCAGCGTGCTGCGCCAAGTGCGCCGACGCAGGTGGTGGCTGGTTCTATCACCTTTGTCGTAGCTCCTCGCCATGCTCCTGTGCACAAGCGAGGGCCTCCGCGCGAGGGTCCGGAAGGGTGTGGGTCTGTAGAGACTACGCTACCACCGGCGGCTGTCCCGGAGCGTCCGCCATAGCGCACTCTCGAGACAGAGGGTCGCTAGGTGCCACAACGTCGCTAATGCTGGAGCCATCGCTCTCAACCACATCATCTATGAGGTCGTGGAAAGAGACGGGAGTGTAGCCCGCCATCCCCACGAATTCGGATGTGAGAGGGGGCGGCGTCAGTATCTTTTGGAGCCCCCGTGCATAAGCGCCCGTGGGGGACGTGAGGTCGTAGGGGAACCGGTCGCATGGCGGTCATGGCGGGGACAACGGTGTCCCTCCGGAGAGTCGGCGGAAGATAGTAAATAGCGAGTAAATAACAGTATGTATGTTACTCATAGCGAGGTTTGAGCCCAGCGTAGGCTCAGAGCAAAGCGTAGGCGCCTCGTCGTTGAAGTCGTCGGGTGTCCTAGAGCCAACGGAGGGCGCTCCTCCGACGAGCATCGGGACAAGTGCCTTCTCACGAAGGCGAAGCACGCTGAGCTGGTCGACGACGAAGTCCAGTCTTCCGAAGAGGAAGGTCTGGGATGGCTCGAAGACGAGAGGAACCCACATCCCAATAGGTGGGAGCGCGGGAAACTCTAGCGAGCCAAAGTGAGTCGTATCGCTTGAGCCCGCCATGCCAAAAATGGCGGAAAGGTGGGTCATCCGATGACCAAAAGCGTGAACGTACGGCGTCCTCCCCACGGACGGTGCCAACTGTCAGTGCGAAAAGTGACCAACTAGTAAAGATTTATCGTTTTGCCGTATGTTGTGATCGGATGTGGCCTAGCACTCAATGACATAGGGTTTATACTAGTTCAGGCAACGTGCCCTACGTCCAGTTTGAGTCGGTTGGTGACTTTATTCCTGAGCTCAGGTGCTCGAAGTTTGCTGTGGGGTTACAAACGAGTGGGAATAAGATGGGGGTATCAGAGGTCCGGTCGGACTCTAGACCGAAGGGCCGAGAGTGACAGGAGCTCCTACGTGCGCTAAGTATTGGAATGTATGCTCTGTGTAGCTTTAGAATGTCTAAAGCTAGCAGAGAGTGAGTCGGAATGATCCGTGCGTCGTATGTTGTTTGTCGAATCGATCCCCCTTTTTGGGAGAGGGCGCATCACCTTTTATAGATGAAGGGGACGGCCTTACAAGTGAGAGAGAGGGAGTGTGTGCTACCTAGTCTTGTTGCCCACGCTGTCGGGTACGAGGCGGTTTGTCGGCGCCTACAATACTGTTGATGCACTGATGCATGTGGTTGGTTCCATCATGTTCTTCTGGTATGGCAAATGTCGGCGCCTACCATACTGTAGGGCAAATGTCGGCGCCCACAACACTGTTCGTGTCCTAACATGTCTGGAAGGTTGCAAAGTACCATTCTGACATGGCCTGACAGTACTGTCCTGCAGGTGTGCAGGGTACGGTCCTCGGTATTGCGGTTTGACTTGTGCTCCTTACCTTATCTGCTCCGCCTGATTTCTTGGGTCCTCACCGAGCGGGCTTCCCCGTTCGGTCGTTCCCAGTCGGTTCCGACCGCGCCGGTCGGAGAAGAGCCGCAGGCAGAGGTTTGGTGTGTTCCCGGTCGGAGATGCCGGTCGGAGTCGGAAGCGAGCGTCGCCCCTCTTTGGCCAGGCCTTCCGGTCGGAGACGCGGGTCGGAGTCGGAAGCGAGCGTCGCCCCTCTTTGGCCAGGCCTTCCAGTCGGAGAGGCGGGTCGGAGTCGGAAGCGATCCGGACGGAGACTGGATCACTCTTACGGCCTGTCGTTAGGTATCTGGGCCGGCCCAGGAGTTGCGCGTCGTCCGCAACATCGTATTCTGGGCCGAGCTTTTTGCTGAGAAGCAGGCCCCTTAGGGACCCCGGGTTTATGAACCCGACAAATGTTGAGATAAGTTGATGGATGATGAACTCAAATGAGTTAATTGGAGTGGAAGGAAAAGATTTTGGAAAGCTCCGAACAAAAGGACTAAGCTATAAAACAAGGAAACAGAGAAAGACGAAGACATGCCGGAGAAAAGTGATCACCTTGCAAACATGTTTTGAAAACTTTACGCACTCACAACACAAAATCAAGCAACGAGGAAATATCACATCAACTAAGAGCTCGTCAATTTAATTTAGAAAAGTTTGAAAACACACACTTTTCTATATCTAAATTTGTGGAAACTTAAACTAATACTCTTAGAAAGTTTTATACAAATATTAAAACTATTCTTTTTCTTTGGTGTTTTCTATTTACAACCCAAAATAGAAATTTTGGAGTGTGGTAGATACTATTTTCAATAGTATTTTGTATAACCACAAACTTTCAATGGTATTTTTTGAATGTTGCAATCTTCCAGTGCTATAAGACCAATTTTTCATTGGTTAATGTGATTGACTAGTGCCACCAGGTGATGAGTAACAATGACTGTGTGTTAGGTCAAGTGGCGTGGCAAAGAAGCAAGAGACCTTTGCAAAATGTTTTGAAGCTAAAGGTGGTGGTGTTCCTGTGAGAATCCATTTGAAATTAGCCATTGAAAAAGGTTTGAGACAGGTTGGATCAAAATTAATGTTGATGGTTCCTTTGTTGTGCAGACAGGTGAAGCGGGGGTGGGAGCCATCGGCCGGGACAGTGATGGCAATGCTATCTTCTTGGCCTGGCGATCTTTTAGCAAATGAGGGAGCGCACCGGAAGCGGAAGCCCTTGCTTACGTCGAAGGCCTTCGAGGAGCAGTGTAGGGGGCGGCTGACAAAGGTCATCATCAAAATGGACTGCGCTCTTGTCTACTCGGCCGTGAAAAGTGATTCGCAAGACAGGTCGGAGATAGGCTTCATTATAGAGGAGATAAAAGGGCTTGCGTGCCTTCTCCTCTAATGGAGGTTTTCTCAAGCAAAGAGAGAAAGTAACCAGGTGGCAAACGCTTTAGCTAGCTTTGCTAGATGTAGCAAGTCTAAGACTGTCTCCAACGAGGAACCTATATGGGCACCCAAACCTAAAATAGGTAGTAAGAGACCCAAAATCTGCCTCCAACGGAGTACCTATACGTGAGACCTATTTTGGATTGCCCGAGAGGCACAACCCAAATATAGGCATCCTCTCTCCTGCAAACCTATTTGCAGAAATGATTCTCTTTTGGGTCTTGCTGTTGGAGAAGATGCCGAATAGATATTGAACCTTTTGTCTGTAGCGTTACCCAAAGGACGAATGTGTTTTATATTTTGGGTGTTGTTGTTGGAGATAGCCTAAGGCGACAAAATTGGGGACGTGCACCTCCGTGTGTAGAAGAATTCCTCAATGCCAATTGTATAAACATTTTGCCTAGCTAAATGAAAAGCTCTCTTTGCTCGCAAAAAAAAAAAGATTTGTATAGGAGTTCTCTTGTTTAGTCGTGCTAGTTGCTCTTGGTGCCTTGCTTGTTGTTGGCCTTGCTACTAAAATGTATAGAGGTGCCCTTGTTAGACTAAGCTTGAGTGGTGCTTATTAGGGCCATCTTATTATCTAACAAGTTTTGTTAGTGTTATGCCTTGTAAAAAAAATTAATAGGATATTCACGTTCCCTCTCTATCCATCTTGTACACCCCACTTGTATTTTTGGTCCACCGCTATTTTGGCCTGCCACCTTTCCAAAATGGTATGACCCTTCTCCACAGTCTGCTGTCTTTGACCATATCAAAGAACCCCTCTCTTAATAACTAGCCCAACTCAAATCAAATTTGAATAAGGATGAGTTACTGATAGATCAAATTTGAATAAGGATGAGTTACTGATAGATGAGGTTTTCCCTGTATTTAAGAAACAAACCATCTGGTAGCTCAGGCAGTAAATCATCAGCCGCCCATGCTCAGCCATTATATGCAAGCAAAGCGAAAAACCATGGAGGAATCATGGAAGTAAGCAATCCAATTTCGATATGCTTATGCACGGGAGACGAGGCTCTTTTCCTTCATCACCAGGAAAAGGGAATGCATGGGATCACGAAGCGGGCCATGCAGGACAATGCAAGACCGCTTCACACAACGTGCGACATGCCATCAATGAAGCCGACGAATGCCCTCTTCCCTGCAAAAGCAGCTCATAGATGAATGCACCCATGGAAAGTCGATAGACCGATGTACCAAAACATTGATCCCGGTAATCGCATAACTTAATTCGCCAATATGGTGATTTCCCTCCCTATCCTTCCAGTACAAGTTGGTTTTGAAAGCCTTGACAGGCACAAGACTCTATTGACTAAAAAAAAACTAAGGATGGGTTCCTCGCGCGAAAGGTGACCACGCACCCTGTAAAACCATCGTTACCTTCAGGACCTCCTGAATGGTAGGCATTAGCCAATGGTAAGGTAACCACCAGCTTTGGACAGCTTAGCTCCCAGGCCTCATGTAGTTGCTTGATATTGCTCATTGCTGCGCTTCTGCATCTATGCATGACGTCTTTGCGTCACCACTAGAAGACACGGGAAGCGAGTCTTTGGCAGATTTGCGAGCTCGCTGAGAAGGCCGGCTTGTCGCCCTGTTCTTCAGCTCACCCTTCCGCTTCCCGCTCCCAAGAAGTCCAAAAGCAACAGCTTCCAAAGCTTTTGCAGTGGGAGGCCTGTTTCTGGTTCCGTGCCTCCGAGCATTCACCTGCAAAGCAGGATCAGGCACCTCGCTAACAGATCTTCCTGCTGCCCCTGAAGGATCACAGGCCATGTTCTTGTCTAAACTGGAGGGAGCTTCATCAACCTTCATGCTACCAAGATTTTCCAATGATGTGGTGTCAATGCTTCGGCTTGCCTTATCATCATGTAGCATTTCCAGTTTATTCAAGTCAATTGGACCAATAACCTCAGCTCTTTCTTTGACAAATTTTGGCTTATCGGCAATGATCTTTGAGTGAACTTCAGCCACAGCATCAACCTTACACTCTAATGACTTGTTAATTAAGTTCTCCATAACCATTCTCTCATTTTGCCCATCATCGGTAAGAGAGTTCAATGCATCTGCTTTCTGCTCAGATGGCTTCTCCTTTGTAGAACAGCTTGCAATTGTTTTACTCTGAAAAGTGCCGCCAACTTCAACAGCAGCTGGTTTGGATGAAGTCAATGGTGGCTTGCTTTTCTCTTTCTCCAAACCACCACCTTTTGAGAAAGAAAAACTGCGCCGGCTGGCCTGTTCATTACTACAGCTATTTAATCTTCTGCGCTTTGACACTGGGGACAAATACTTGCGCCTTTCAGGTTTTGTTTTGATGCCATAGATGCCTGTCAGATCGATTTTGTCATCATTGCCATTAGAAGAGTGGCCATTAGCAGTCACCATGTTTTGCAGTGAACCAGCTGAAACCATTTCAATTTCCTTGACCTCAGCTTTAACTCGTCCACAATCTTCCTGGTCATCTGATAATCTATCATTGGCACCTTCCTCTTCAGAGGAGCCGTAACTCACCATATTAGATGAATGTTGTGAAAGGAGAAGAGTAATATTTGCATCTGCAGGTAAGTTCCTCAGTTCCCGTACATTGAATGGCTCTTCCCCTTCGACTAAGCTAGTATCAATTATTGTGAACTTAGGAAGCTCCTGATATCCATCTAACGGACTATCCTGGTTCAGTTTCACATCTGTGATACTGCCATTTTCCTCAGCAGTTAAACCATTGTTTATCGCATCAACCTCCAACTCAAGAAGAACAGGATCTGCTGCCACTCTTTTAAGGACATCACTGACAGAATCAAAATAGTGAGTACCTTTAGTGAGTTTACTTCTCGAGAACTTCTTTATACCCGGCACAAGAAATACAAGGCAATTCTTAGTTGTGCTAACATCCTTTGGCTGCTCTGAGTGCCACCCTTTTGCAAGCAAACGGGGCCATACAGCTTCCCAGAAAATATCATTTGATCTAGTCTTACTTCTTCTGAAATCACCATTTAAGAACTTGATTATATCTTCTGAAGCAAGTGAAGAACAGTCTTTGCCTGTAGGCAAGTCACTGTGAACAGAGAGAGCATGATTGGGTTTAGATTGGTCCGCAATGAATCCAGTCAAATCGTGCTTCCCTTTACCAACCCCAACCGCCTCCACAAAAGTTTCTGCTCCAACAGTGGATTTCAGACTGAAGACAAATTCCTTCAAAGATGTTTGGCTATCACTGAAAGATTTGAAAACCTGCAATATGTGAAAGCAAAACAAATCATATGGCAATGCATAACAAAAGATCAGCATCCTTCAATAATGTTGACAAATGTCTGATGTGTGCAAGTTAGTGATTATTCTGTGCAACTAAACTAGACACATTAATTGTGCTTGGATAATCACAACTTAGTCATACAGTTACCATGGGTACAACAGTTCAAGAAATGACAAGTAATGAACACTTCTTCCCAAAAATGATATCAAAACAGAGAATCACAATGGCCAAATGCATGCCTACAACAGCTTCATCTTTCCAGTCTGATGTTTATAATCATAATTCATAAACACAGAAGTCCTTGAAAGCATATTGAAGATCTGAAGGCATTAAAGTTTTTATGGATGTATTTGAGAGAAAAAAAAAAGTTTGCCATTGAGGACCAGACCAATCAAATATGCTTGGATAACCCTTCATATGCTGATAGCTCTATGAGACTAAGGGTGAGTTTGGATTATCTGCTCTGCTCGCCTCACCGCACCGGGCAAGGACAGGCAAAAACAAGGAAGTGACTGAAAATTGAAGAAATATAAATGGTGCAAATCAAATGTAAAAAATGTTACTATGAGAAATATGTGTTTGCTTTATAGAACAATAGGAATATTTAGGATGTCATATGTAACAAGAGAAACTACAAAGAAAATTAAATTTGAAATATCATGGGAATAATTTCATACTCCCTCCAATCCAAATTATAAGACGTTTTTGCTTCTCTAGATACGTTGCTTTTGCTACGTATCTTGATATAGTGTATATCAAAGTGCATGGCAAAAGCTATGTATCTAGAAAAGCCAAAACGTCTTATAATTTGGAACGGAGAGAGCATTCAACCAAGTCAAATTAATCAGTGAACAACAATGGAATGGCAAAAGAATTATTTTTTTCTACCAGTGCCAATGCAACATACCTCAATCAACGAATCATGAGCTTCTTTAGGGATTTTAGATTTCAGACGTGATATTAGTTCCTGCTGTCGCCATCCTTGAAAAATGCGTTCGCCAAGAATGCATTTCCTAGTTTTTGCCTTTCTACAGTCTGACCATCTTTTGTACGCATCTCTTCCGTAGAACTTCCCATAGTAGCATGCAAGCACATCACCAACAGTCTTTGTACCCAGAAACCTGCTCAGCAGGTTGAGATTCTTGCCAAAAATGTAGAGCCCAAGAAGAAATACCTCTGCCTCAAGATCACTCCAAAGAGCAATGGGTGAATAAGGCAGAGGATTTAATTGTTTGGTTTCTCTCTGCTGCACTATTGAATTATTGGTGACATTCTGTCCTTCTTGAGTGGGGCAAGGGACCATTTTGTCATCATATGCTTGATTACTGTCAGATTTAATTTGAACTAAAGGCACTACTGTATGTGGATCCTGGAATGTTGGATCACATCTGCCAGTGTCATTTCTGGTTGCACAAGTTGAGGCCACCTGACTTTGCACATCTCCAGTGCTGCCTTTTGTTCCAGATTCTGAACATTTTTGCATTTGTAGTACCTCTTCCGTCTTATTGAGTTCGCTTGGTGATGCCCACGTAATTGGTAAAGCTAACCCAACCACAACAGGGTAACCATAGCCATGCAATATGGAATCATTATGTGAACTGGCCATGAGCTCACGGCACTCATCCTCTGTAGCCAGATTGGGGATTTCTGCCTGGTGCTCACTTCCAATGCATGGACATACATGCGAGTCATCATATAACGCATCTGAAGCAGGAGAAGCTTCTGATGAAGGTTGGTGGTCTCCATTGTCTTCAAAATCGAGTGATTCTGGCTCCATCTATCACAATTAGAACAAAAAAAAGTGCAGTTGTAAAGAGCCATTGCAATAGTCAACAATACAAGAACATGTGCACCATCATTACAAATAATGAAGTTTGCTATGTATTTCAGATAAACTAGGAGCATGCATATGGAAATTTTCTTCTTTTTCCAGAATTCTTGTGAGTTAGCATGCATCCCTATGATGCATAATGGCTGTAGCATTTGAAATAAGTTATCTGCAACAAGAAGGAAACTAACAGTAGTAATTTACTACCCTTGCAGTGAAAGTGAGCATATGAAGTACAGATATAGATGTTGCTATGCCTAGCTGTATCCTGTTCAAGTCTGTAATAATTAAAACCTAACATAATATCTCGAACATAAGATTAGGGGTGGAAATATTTTCAGAAAAGGAGTTGACCTTTCTGGCTATTAGTTGCTATCTTACTGTGGAATAAACAGCAGAATGCAATAAGGTTTCCTGCCATGCAAGAAATTGTAGTAGAGGAAACAATACCACAGCAACTCTAGGGTCATCAAAATGATATACTATCGGTTCCAACAGAAAACTTGCATAACTGGAAATACAGGCACGCTAGCTCTTGCTGGCAGCAAATGAAGTCAATGCCTATCATGTATAAGATTCATCAACGAGGGGCCATCAATAAACATAGGTCTCAAGTATAAAGTGTATTGCCAAAGAACAGAAAAACGACTTGGAGGATTTAATCACTCCACAGACCACAATCAGTGCAAAATTATTTAACAGCAGCAACAAGCCATCAAGCACTGCACCATCATGAACAGAACCTATCGACCAACATGTTGTCCAGCTCCTCACCGTCACCGTGAGCCTACACGACAACATCCAGAGCCACTAGATCAAGCAAACCAAGTAATTCCACAGGCACCGATCAAGCCACGACTTGCATCCTGCGAATCTATCTCAGGCCAGGCACCACCACAATCCTACCCACGACTGCGAATCTTGCAGACACCGTGGAAACCAAGCAAACGACCACCAGCAACCGAAAGGAGAAACCGAGCACAGGCTCGCCGCTCGCGGCCAAGAAACACGGCCGACCAAATCGACGCCCGAGCCAGCACCCAGGAACGCGCGCCCACGGGGCACGAGAAGCACGGATACGAGCCTAGAGAAACACGCCGGGAGCGCATGATCACGGACGAAATCCCCATGGCCGAGCCCAGGAGCGCGCCCCAAGGCAACAACCCCATCGCAAAACGAGAAACCGCGCGACGCGCTACCAAACGAGAGCAGCGCGGCCCCCCCGAGCGAGAGCACGAGCGAATGCGAGATTAGAGGGAACAGGACAGACGGGCAAACCTTAGCCTCCATGCACGCCGCGGTGGCGGCTCCTCACCCAGGCTCCGGCCACGAGGAGCCCTCCGGCCTCTCGGACGAGAAACAGACGCCCCCGGCCGGTAGCGAGAGAGAATCTGAACCGGACGGTAGGTGCGGCGATATTCACCGACGGTTTGCGGGAGGGAAGAGCACGGAGCAGCGCGCCGCAGGGTAGGGCGAGTGGAGTGTACGGCGAGGCCGAGGACCGGCCGCGGGGCGGTGGTGGGTTGGAGTGTAGAGGGAGAGAGGAGGCGGAGCGGAGACGGGGCTGGAGAGGGGGTGCTTCGGGCTTTAAAGACAAGGAGAAGGGAGGAAGAGAAGAGAGAACGGTGACAGGGAGAGAGACAGAAATTGGTGGTGTGGTGGTCTCGCGGCGCGGTAGACCGGCGGAAAAATGGACCGGGCCCGGTTTGGGCCGCCTGAATCGAAACGGAAACTGGGATCACAGTACCAGGGAAACTAATAGGAGGTAGATAATACGTGACCTGTCGCGCCGTTGGAGAGCACGCGACCACGAGACCCATGTCCTATTCATCTTCCTCCCTCGACCATGCGGGTCACGCGGTAGGAGAGCCCGGTCTCGCGGCGCGGTAGACCGGCGGGAAAATGGACCGAGCCCGGTTTTGGGCCGCTTGTATTGAAACGAAAACTAGGATGATAGTACCAAGCAAACCAATAGAAGGCAGATAATACGTCACCTGTCGCGCGGTAGGAGAGCACGTAACCTGCCGCGTTGTAGGGGAGCACGTGACCCGTCGTGCGGTAGGATGGACCGGGCCCAGTTTGGGCTGCCTATATTGAAACGGAAACTAGGATCACAATACCAAGCAAACCAATAACAGGCAGATAATGCGTGACCCATCGCAACGGTAGGAGAGCACGCGACCCCTGTCGTATTCATCTTCCTCCCTCGACCACGCGCGTGACCCGTCACGCGGTAGGAGAGCACGTGACCCCTGTCCCATTCAACTTGCTCCCTCGACCATGCACATTAGGAGGGCGTCGCGAGCACTATCACCGCCGCCCGCCGCCTTTTTCTCCTCCCCCTCCCATAGTGGCAAGCTCCGGCCATGGCGCCCTTGCCCCAATTTGGCCCTACCGCCTCCACCACCGCCAGGGCCCCTAACCGCATGGCTAGCCTTCCTCCCCCGAAACCCCCTTTTATGGCCATCGGAGATGGAGAAGAAGAGGGGGAGAGGACAAAGAGAGAGGGCGCTGAACTTACCTGACACCGACGAGCTCGTCGTCTCCAACGCTGGTGAGGTCCTCGCCAAAACCCTAGCCACGAGCGCGGGCACGAACGGGTGGAAGACGCGAGAGGGAGAGGGAGACACGCCTAAGAGGGAGAGGGTGGGCCAGCCACGTCACGCCGTCCGCGCTCCGCGCAACGATCACGTATTTAACTTTCTGAAACCAATAGGTGTATTTGGTTTGTTAGCTAAGCTGGAAAATAAGCCATGCCGGCCAAAACCAGCAAGGATTGTATTTGGTTGTTTAGCTTGGTTATTAGAGCATGGTGATCCTTTCTTTACCTCTTTATTTCGAGTGGTGAATGGCAGAATGGTAACAAATAGTCCATAAGTGTTCCTAGAGCCCGTTTGGTTCGGATTTGGTTTCTTATACAAACTTGACTAAAGTATGTGATTGACTGATTCTGGTTCTCTCAAGAAACGAATTTGTCTGGTTTCCATAATTTGTAAGAATTTGAGAAATGTTCTTGTTCTAACTATAAATCCAAGAATCGTTTGGCAAGGATTTTCTTAATTAACTCTAGAACGGTTTTCATTTAGTACGAATTCTCCTTTTTTCTAAGGAGATGGTTTCTAGAATTGTTACAAAAAGGAGACTTTATATTGTTCTCATCGCATCTTCATTTGTGACTAATCTTAGTGTTGATATTTATTAACTTGTCACTTGTTTTAGTAGCCACCTATTATAAACATATATCTCCTAACATTACTTTACTAAGTTGTCATCCCTATTGATGATACCAGAGATGCTTGTTGGTACTACATAGCATTACTACTAGAATAATACTAAGCAGTTCTTTATCATTTTATGTGACTAGAAAGAATATATAAATATATGAATGAAAAGAATCTGCAAACGTACAGATAATATACCATTGTAGCACTTCACCCGAGAGTATTTCAGGTATCGTTATTTATATTTTTACAACAGAGAAGGTCTAGCATGGACATGTATTGATAACTTATACTATTGATGGAGAAGTAAACCATAACCAATATTCTACTCATAACAGGGGTAAGTCATAGGATAAGATATATATATGATAAGTGTTGATCAATGATAATGATAAATCACTCAGAGTACTCATTTCTATGGCATTAGCATGGTCAGGTAGAATATTAGAGAAATAATTCCTAAGTCATTTTTAATTACAAGTCAAAACATACATTAATTAGTGCAATTATACATAGTAGTCATTGCTAAAATCATCGTCATATCTACACATAAAGGATATTACTAAGGAAGATTAAGAACAGAGCTTGTCTTCCTTCGTAATTGCATCCTACATGCGCCTACATTCGGGGAGTGGACTACAAAGGACTTAACGAGAGTGTCACATCCGCGATCTACCACATGATCCAAAATATAGGGTGTATCCGCAGGTAAACAACGTATAAGCACCACGCTTACACAATGTCAATCACCCACCCATGGATTCTTAGAGTGAGCGCTATACGAACTTATGCATGAATATGATGATAATCTAACTATACTAAGCATATAATCAAAGTAGATGATGAACATTATAATGAAGAACATGAATAAGATTAATACTAATATTGTCATAACAATTGTAGCTAGCATATAAAAGTAATGGAGTTACAAAAGAGGGGGTACAAAGATTATACCAAACCACGCCCTTGACAAGATCAGAAATCCAAGTGAAGCATGCTTGCCTCCCTCTAGACCTAGCCTAACTAGATGTACCCTAGAATTAATGGAACTTTGGGGATGATTAGGGTTTCTGTCTTTTCAAATGACTTCTCAATCTATAATGCCTAAGAGAGGAGGGTAGGGGCTGATATATATAGGCCGGAGCGTCAAACGTGAGCCCTTGGATCAAACCGACTTAAAGGACGGCGTAGATGCAACCTAGGAGGCGGTGGAGAACCGACATTGCGACGCAAAGGCTAACAGTGGGCCCCAGGGGCCGGGCGGCCTGCAGGTGACAGCTACTCGGGCTCCGCCTCGGTGTGGAGTCCTCTCGAGTCTTCTAGAGTCTTCTGGTGTATATTTCGCTGCGGATAAGCGCGATTAATTCCGACATATAAGTCCACCTTGCCGGTTTTCTGGATAAACCCTGCAGAAAATACAGATTCACCAAAACTCGTGGAATTTGTTAGTTTAAACCCCTAGACATTCGTTGGTGATTATATTTATGCCCTTATGCATACTATATTAACGATTTATGGTTGTTAACTACCATCAACACTTAGCAAATTTCAAACAATTCACAACTAAAAAATATTGAAGAAAAGGAATATTTTCCAATTATTTTAAAGTTCTAGGTGAAATATGTTTGGCTAAAGCCTTAGATCTAGCTAAAGGCCTTCTCCGGCACCTTCCTGGTTTATCTAAAGGGCATCTACCGTGACATAACACATGCGAAAATTGTATCCACCGAGCAGTCCAGCCGCAGGGAAGCATACCAACCATGCCTGATATGGTCATTACTATGTGCTTGCACACTGACAAGAAAATCTAGATGCACCCTAGAAAAACCTCATGACAGTTTGGATGGCAAGATTTGAGTTGTCTAGTATACGGTGGGCACATGCTGAAATGGAAATGGGGACCACAGAGTTGGGTGCCCCGGTGACATGGCAAGGATTGTATTTGATTGTTTAGCTTGGTTGGAGCATGGTTACCCTTTCTTTACGTCTTTAGAGTGGTGATTGATATAATGGTAAGAAATAGTCTACAAGTGTTCGAGAGCCTGTTTGGCTGGGATTTGGCTTCAACAAACTTGACTAAAGTATGTGATTCAATGATTCTGGTTCTCTCAAGAAACAGATTTGTTTGGCTTGTATAATCTGTAAGAATTTGAGAAATATTCTTGTTCTAACTATAAATCCAAGAATCGTTTAGCAAGGATTTTCTTAATTATCTATAGAACGGTTTTCATTTGATACGAATTCTCCTTTTTCTAGGGAGATGGTTTCAAGAATTGTTACAAAAGTGGACCTAATATTGTTCTCATCTCATCTTGTGTTTGTGGGCAATCTTAGAAAATTTCAAACAATCCACAACTAAATATTATAGAAAAGGAATACCTTTCGATTCTTTTAAAGTTCCGAGTGGAATATGTTTGGCTAAAGGCTCAGATCTGGCTAAAGGCCTTCTTTGGCACCTTCCTGGTCTATCTAAAGGGCATCTGTAGTGACGTAACACATGCGAAAATTGTATCCACCAAGCAGTCCAGCCGCAAAGGAAGTACACGCCTAATATGCAGCCTGTTCGCTTGCTCGTAAACGATCGTAAATTTTCAGCCGGGAACAGTGTTTTTCTCTCACACCAAACCAGCCAGCAGTAAATAATCCACGATACGATACGGCCTCCCGAATAGGCTGATGGTCATTACTATGTGCCTGCACACTGACAAGAAAATCTAGACGCAACGCTAGAAAAACCTTGTACCGGTCTAGATAGCAGGATTTGAGCTGTCTAGTATATGATGGGCGCATGTTGAAACGGAAATGGGGACCATAGAGTTGGGTGCCCCGCGTGACATGGTAAGGATTGTATTTGATTGTTTAGCTTAGTTAGAGCATGGTTACCCTTGCTTTACCTCTTTAGAGCGCTGACTGACCGAATGGTAACAAATAGTTCATAAGTGTTCGTATAGCCCATTTGGCTGGGATTTGGTTTCTTAAACAAATTTGACTAAAGTATGTGATTGATTGATTCTAGTTCTCTCAAGAAATGGATTTGCATGGTTTCCATAATTAATCTGTATGAATTTG